TATATATATATATATATATATATATATAAGATAAAATAAAAAAATAGATACATTTCCATGCCATTTTGAATACAGAACAGTGAACAAAGAATAAACAGATATTTTCAAACAAAGTTTATAATGAATGAGATTTCCATCCACTTTAAAGAAAAAACATACTGGATTAAGAATTTTTAACAGCTGTGGAAGTTAAAGACAAAAAACAGCCCAACCAAATACTTCAAGCAATGTTAAAAGCCAGTGAAAAAAAAAAAGATTGAACAACATATGTTGTTCATTGTTAAACCACTAGAGGGAGGATAGTCAGGATGAATAACACACGAAGAAGAAAACCGAATAGTCATGGCGGCTGACAGTTTGTGATGAGCCAACGAAAATAGCAGCGAATAGTCTTTCAACTTAGATTCAATTGGTTTAAACTGTCCAGTGGGTTAAGCTCAGCCGACAACATGCTGATAACTTTGAAGACTTTACAGCAACAGACCTTTAAAATTGACATCGATGAGGAGGAGACGGTGAGAGATAAAATATGAGTAGAGGGGGTGGAGTCGGGTATGTCCTGGAACAGAGAACAGTTTTGGAATGTTCGATAATAGACTAAAATACGGACAGGTTTGCGGAAATTCATTAAATAATATTTCATTACATACTCATAACCCGTCTTGCTAATGATATGGATAATTTATCGATCGTTTAAATAACTAGTAATATAACTGACTTGTTTATATTGAGAAAAAGTGACTTGTGTTATCACTAATTAGCCGCAGCCCGCCTGGTTATAGATCTACTAACTTTTACTTTCGGTAACCTTATGTAACGTAATGTTTTTATGAACGGGGCTAAATTTCATTGTAATCTACTAAAGAAGATGCTGTAGTTATATCTTAAATGTACCTGTTAGAATGAATTTAAGCGTCAGTTTCTGGTGGGAACGTTGAAGAAAGCTTCTGTTTCTGTAGTTGGTTTTACTTGGTAGTTCTGTTGAACCATGTTTGTGTGAGCCGTTGGTGGAAAACCTATGGTAGCAAGTAAACTGGTGCATTAAGGTCTGAAGACTGGTCCAACAAACTGTAAACATCATGTTATTTTCTTTTCCACAGGTGAAAACGTTAAAAGAGAGGATTGAACAGGAGAAGGGGAAAGACAACTTTTCTGTTGCAGGACAGAAACTGATCTATGCTGGTATGATTTATGGTTTTCTACAAGCATTACCGTCCAGATTTATTAGAACCTTTGTTGGAAATGTGTAAACATATCTGAAAATAATTTCATCTTTGATTGGTCTATTATAATCTCACAATAAAAGCAGGATCTATTTGCACTTCCAAAGTATTGACTTGGATTTTCCAAGTTTGGAAAAATATTGGGTATATCTTCCTGTTGATTGACCTCTCTTCCTCCTTCTTGACCAGTTTCAACCTTCCATACTTTAACTTTTTCATCTTTCCTTCTCATTTCCCTTTCAACTACTTTTTTCTTTTATTTAACACCTTTTCTTTCTTTCATGCTTCTTTGATCTCTGCCTACTTTCCTTTGTGTCTTTATTTCTACTCCCCTTCTTGTCCTCTCACTGCCTCCTTCAATCCTGTGTTTTTTATTCTGCAGACTAATGGGCTAAAACGGGGTAAAAGTAACAGAAATGTTGACCAGACACAAAGTCAGTCCACATATTTATATATATATATGTATATATATATATATATATATATATATATATATATATATATATATAGATTTCATTGTGAAGATGAACAAAGTTTAGCATATGACCCAGCACTCTGCATAAATTAGAGCAGCCATTCTCAACCTTGGGGTCGCAACCCAAACTGGGTTCATGAGACGATTTCTGTGGGTCGCCAAATCATTTTGGAAAAACGTAAATAAAGAAAAGCTTCCAACCGGGCATTAGAAGGAAAGCGAGTGGTTGGTATCAAACAGGCTTTTTATTACTCAAAACTAGCTACTGTTGGCTTTAACTGGGCTTCTCCCATCTCTCTCTCTCCTATCTGCTGTCGGCGGCTGCAAAAAGCGTTTGCAGACAGTGATAGAAATCAGACCTCAGT